TGAGTGAGTGAGTGAGTGAGTGAGTGAGTGAGTGAGTGAGTGAGTGAGTGAGTGATAGAGTGAATGAGAGAGAGAGAGAGGGGGAGAGAGAGAGAGAGAGAGCGCGTGTTTGCGTCTCTGTGTGCATGTATGTGGGAAAGTGTGTGAGGGTGCGTGTACCAAAGTCAGTGTTTGAGTGAATGAAATAATTACGTTTGATTCCTTCATAGCCTTTATTTGCCTCTCCATCTCCCAGTACCACAAGCAGACGTGATTCCTGCCGTCAGCCAAGGAACCTCACCTCTGCACCTGAGAAGACGGCAGCACAGGCGTCAGCCACTCAGGACCTCGCATAGACCATCGGTCATCTTGAGGTCATCGTATCAGAGACCAGATGGTAAAGGAACCCACGGTAGTGCCAGCAGAGACAGAGACGATGATGACAATACAGATAGTAGAGACACTCGACAGAATTCGCGAAGACCAACGAAAAAGGCGTCTCCTCCGAGGTCGTACATACAAATCAAGTCCAAATCAAGGCTGCGAAACAAACAGGCGCCAATTTCTTCCAAGAAAACGCCGTCTGATTCCCAGAATCAGCAGGGCGCCGCGGCTCCAGGCAAATCGGGCGTCGGTTACGAGCAGGGTCAGTTTTTCGTGAAGGGAGAGAATGGATCTATACAGTATAAACATTACTATCACACTAACGTTCACGACGGGCTTGGGGACGTGCCCATAGGTTCCGCCAACGGCGATGAGAAGACGAGCCAGGGATCAGTTCGTTACGGACAGAAACCCACAAGGATAGACAGTTCATACGACGACAGGTAGGTTGTTCTTTGTAACGTGGGTTCTGATTGGTTCTTTCTCGGTGTTGAACCGGTTTTGTTTGTAGGCTGAGATTTAGTTGGGTTTTCTTTTTTACCCAGTATTGTTACCTTGTTTTCGTGAGCATGATTGGCCCTTTTCTGTAGAAGCAGCTGATAGTTATTTAATGTTATTTCCTTACAATCTTACTTTGATATGTATCATATTTAGTGAGATCTTTGTCCATTTAATTCAAACGTTTTCTTTGTTTTAAACGTGGTTGTAAGCTTTGCGTTAGTTCGATAGTTCCTTTAAAAAAACATGTTCCTTTTAGTGGAGTCTCCAAAGGTTACAATTTAATGTAGTCTCGTCTTCCATAAGACAGTCTTGTTGTTTTTAATTTTCTTTTGGGGAAGGCTAGAACAGATTGATCTATATTGGTGACATTTTTCATGTATTCGAAAGTTTACTTAAATATATGTGTTGCTTTAGTTGTTGTTGTTGTTGTTGTTGTTGTTGTTGTTGTTGTTGTTGTTGTTGTTTTATTTGGGATTTTTAATTGGGATTTCTCTTTGTTTGTTTTCTTTCTCACTGTTTTTATTTGTTGTTGTTATTGTTTGCTTTGTCTGTATGAGTTTGTTTTGTTTTTGGTTTTAGTTGATTGTTGTTGTTGGAGTTGGGTTTTTCTTT